GGCATTTTATTTTGTCGCTGCGGTTGGTAATGGGTTAACAAAGCTTTCAGGTCCTGTGTCCCTTCCCCCCCGCCCTTTCTCTATAGGACCGGTGATTCTTGTCACTGTTACTGCCTGAAAGGCCGGGAGGATTATTAGAAGGCAGCAAGGAAACATCATTTAGGAAGCAAAGCATGTATTGCGCGTCCCCCGCCAAAATATACTGAAAACACAGCCCAGGGCAAAATTGCGTTCATGTTTAAAAAGCCTCCTCGGTGGGTGGCTGCGTTTCTGCCGCAGAAATAGATTAAGTCGCGGCATAGAATCTGAATAATTTCTCACTGTTCAGGTCAGGTATTCTGAAAAAAAAAAAACCCCTAAGATTACTCCTTTGGAAAGGAGGTGCAGCCAGATGGCTGCCAGGCGTACAAGTCCCAGAACATGGGGTTGCCAGCTCTTAGGGAGCGCCAGACAGGAGCAGGATTTCCAGGGAAGAAGGACTCTTCCCCACCGTGTCCCCTCTGTGATAACAGCACACCTGTGGGACCCCGCGAGGCTGTGGGGTTGAGCGACCCGCTGACACCGCTTCGCTAGGTCGTGCTTTTTCCCTAGGTGCGTCAGCGTATCAGCTAATCGTTCTCAGCCATATAAACTTGTGGTTTTTAAGCCACATGAATAAGTCGCCAGCTCAAAAATTTGAAGGGCAAGATTCCCATTCGGTCTGTGTGTAACTGCTCTATAGGAGCCTGAGTTTCACAGAGCGATGGCTTTTTATTATGCCATGGTAAAGGTACAGCTTGATTCTGCTTTGATTACTCAGGCAGAATTTCTGCTGATTTCAGTCAGGCAAGGACTTGGCCAAATGTCAAAACTCCCAGTATCTTAAATAACAGCAATAGTGATGTAGTGATGTTTTTGAATGCGTATATAACATAGGATTAAGCCTTTCTTTCCAAATTTCCTTGCTTTTTCTGGGCTAGAGTCAATCGATGCTGTGATAAGGTGCATACGTTCAGATGATGTGGTGATATTAGCTTAATGTTTTAATGTATATGCAAAGCAAAATGATCAATGCAAGCAAAGCAGAGCCTGGATCCTGCTCCCATCGGAACTGCCGGCTGGACTTTAGCAGTCACAGAATTTTAAAATAGCTTTCATAGAACATCATTTGGAAGGCGTATGCATATGCCTTGGCTGAGGCTGGGTTTGTTGGTGTATAGTATTAATTGCAGGGTTTTTTTTTCTGAAAATACAATGGCATGTAGCCATGCTGTCGCATCTATATGTCATGGACACCTGCTGTCACCTCTCTGCTAACAGCCCGGGCAGGCAGCTCTGCAGGCAATTCTTTGCCTTATCAGCACTATCCTCAGGAGTGGAAGAACGAAAGGGCAAATACAGTGTCTGGGGAGTGAACTCGGCAACCATCCGCGCTCCTGAAACATCCCCTTTTTTAACGCTGGAAAATTGATGACTGGGGTTGATTTTTGTATGTGCGGTGTGCCAGAGTCTGTAGTTTAGAAGAAAATTATGTAACTGCTGAATATACAGACATAGGACAAATTACTCCTGTGTAAAAAAGTATCTGGAAATACTTAAAATGCGTTTGGTACTTGTTTAAAAAAAATACACTAGAGACAATCCCAATGAAATGAAGAGGGAATGATATAGTTGAGACATGGGGGGCATGATCAATAACTGTTATTTGTAATGCACACTTGCTCAAGAAGCTGCTTTATTTCATCATCCTGGTTAGCGAGGCTGAGTACTCATAGAAATAAAGGCAGCTAACAATTCAGCCATCACTTTGTGTCATAGACACATATTTTTCTGAGATATAATGTGTGTAGAAGGATAAATATGGCATAATTTTATTTGGAGAAAATGCATTTTTTTTAAATTACTTGATTAGTTTAAAAAGTGCTTTTAAACGACAACAAAATGCATGCACTTAACTGTACTCTGTATTATTGAAGGTGTTTGAGAAAGGGCTGAAGAGCAGCAAATATGGTCTCTATTCAGACAAGCAGAGCATTCATGTAAGGACACTTTTATCACTGCAGATTGAGACATAATCAGCAATTGTCTTTTATTGACCGTGGGTTCAATCACCTGTAGTGGCTGAGCCTGAAATAGCACCGGAGTTGTAAGAAATACAGTGTTTGTGTAAGGATCTGGAAAGGTCTGACCTGGAGATACCAAATCCTGATATACTATTTGTACAGTGTATCACAAATGTAGTTCTACAAGTTCGTACCTAAGAAAATACGTTCTTCTATATAAAACTTGCGCTGTTATGAGAATTTGGCAGTTCTAACTAATGTGTAATGAGAAAATAACACTGTGTTAACAGGTCTTTTGTCATTTCAGTAAATGCTGAGTAAAAAAACCCAGCAGTTACCTTTTTATTATCATTTTACTGTTTGGCCACGTTCGTGTAGTGCTGTCTTTGACGGCACTGCCTTTCTACAGACCTGATCCTGAAGCCCTTACACAGGCAAATCTCTACCAGAGCCAGAGTTTTATACCTGAGGATTGTTGGGTTAGGGCTCACGGCTCAGCTAAGTACTGTCAGCAATTAAGGACACTTTATTTAAAGGAGCACTGTCATCTGAAATTCTTTTTCCCTGTGCTCAGGACAGGATAAGTGCGGTAGCCGTGGAGAAGCATGCATCCAGGATTCAAAGCTTATTTAATGTGGTGGACGTGCATTAACTTCAGGAATTCTGGATTAGGTCTTTTAATGGCCTCATAACACAAAATGCATACTATGTGTAACATGGGGAGCTCTAGTAGAATAGGATGGAATGGAATGGAATAGAATAGAATAGAATGGAATAGAATAGAATGGAATGGAATGGAATGGAATGGAATAGAATAGAATAGAATAGAATAGAATAGAATAGAATAGAATAGAATAGACATTTCAGTTGGAAGGGACCTACAACGATCATCTAGTCCAATTGCCTGACCACTTCAGGGTGCTTCAGGGCACTTCATCTCGGTGGCTGTGGTCCATGACTGAAAGAGCAGTCACCAGAGCAATGGGTCCCACCTGCACCCCTGCAGCAGCCAGGCAGAGGGGCAGTGGGCAGCTCACCAGCACGGATCTGGCAGTGGGGTCTGCAAGGTGCACCAAATTGGGGCACCCATGACAAGCCAGAGGGATGCCCCCACTGATGGCAGAGGGAGAAGGGCTGGTCCCACCAAAGGTTTATGCAGTGGTTGAGTACAATGAGTCTGGTGGGTGCATTTGTAATTCTCGTTACTCCTTGCTGTTCAGCTCAGGTACTCCACTGAGGATTGTTCCTTTGAAGAGGAGATTCGTCCCGATGGCTACAATGTATACAAATCAAAAAAATACGGAATATCGGTGTCTTTGAGTAGTGCCAAGCAAAGACAACAGTTCAAAGGAAAAGATTTTCTTCCACTATCTCACTTCTTACCTATGATCAACACTGTGCCCGTGGAGTCAACAGACTTTGGTGAATACGGTGATTACAGCCAGGCGTTTGAACCGGAGGTGTACTCCTCGCCTCTCGAAACGGACAGCATGGACCCCTTTGGCATCACCTCCAAACTGTCGCCAGTGAAGAGCCCCAGCTTTCAGAAATGACTCTGACCACACATACACGTGTTTTTAAAGAAACGTTGCAGAGTACTGCAGGTTTTTTAGCTTTTCATGTAGTGATATTTCGAACTTTTTTGTATATTTCAGTACAGAGCCAGCCTTTTCCTTGCCATGTGTTGTACCTGTAAGAGATGAGTGCCCAGAGGCTATAGTCTAACGAATTGCCTATCCATGGTTTTGTTTGGAAAAGGATTAAATAAGAAAATCTTAGCAGTTTCATCAGAGTTCCTCCATTACCATGGTGATGATAAAATAATTTTTCTACATCAACTTCATTGCCACGTATGTTCACCTGTTATTTCTGCTCACAGGAGCAAATGCAGAAAATCTTTTTTCCAGTCACAGGGTGGTTAACGATCTCTTAGCTTCAGAGGCCTTAAAGACAAACATTTGGAACACAACACAATTAAGGAAAATCTAGCAAATGTGGTTACGTGAACTAGAGTTAATGCTGTTTCTTGAAAAGCTGCTGACAACATTCTGGTAAAACTTTCTATTGAAAGCATACCACTGAAAAAACAATTCTGCTTGTATATTGTGCTTTTTCTTCCCTTAGGAAATAAGGGAAGAAAGGGAAAAATTTCTTCCTTCCCTTATTGCTAAAGGGTACTTTGGAAAACTGGATCTTTGATTTCTTTTAAAGGCTAATTTATGTTCACTGTGGGATCAGCATCATCCAGCAGACAGTTCTCATTAACATTAGTGAGAATTCAGTGTGTGGTTGGAAGAGTGCACAGAACTAGCATTTATGTTCATCAGGCAGGGAATGAGCAGTTCAAATTAGTGTTTAAATTAAGGTTCTGTTGTATATAAGCATGCATGTCACTAGCAAACGGAGAGAAAGACTAAAAACGGATGATGTATAGGTCAAATCAATTGCAAAACAGGGTTTTGTGTTTAACCTTTAACCATCAGCAATTCTTTCAAGTCCCTTCCAGGCTTGATTCTGCATCTGTGGGAATCAGTGGAGAGACATTTTAGTGACTTAAATGCCACAGAACTGGGTCAGCCACGCTGTTCTTCCTGCAGGAAGGGATTATGAGTACCTCATGGCCGAAACGTTGATGTCCAATGTCTTCAGTTCTGTTCTCCCGTTGTAACAATTTGATGAAGGAATAACCAAAGTGAAACCAAAGAAAAAAAAGAAAAAAAAAAAAGCAATATGAGAAAAGGGTTCAGGGATTCTACTCGTTTCCAAAGGTTCATTTATTAAAGAGATTTCTATACAAAAAAAAGCTCTACTGGAAATACTGGTGTTCTTCTGACCTAGCACTTCATTGCCAATGCAATATTTATAATTAATTTATTGAATACATACATCTGTTTATTTTGTTACTGTTATTTATGCTCAAAATTCTATTTATATACTCTTGAAGGTGGGTTTTTTAGTTGTAACAAATTTTGTGAAGTTTTGTAATCATGACATTTTAGCAAACGATAGCTTTTTAAATTTCTGTGCGTTCTCAATAGTGTAATGTGTACATTTGCAATTAAAAAAAATCATCTTCAACACAGAAACCTAGCTGACTCTTTTGTCACTCCTTTAGTCTAGAGACTTCACGGAGCTTTAGCAAACTGTGGCATCTGGCTCCACAGCAGCCTCCGAGGATGGAGTCCCTTGTGAAGGTGGTGTAGTTGAGGCACAACAGACAAGTACACGGAGAGACAAAGGGGTTCTCCCAAAGCTAGGCAGTGAATGCCAAGGCTGGAATTCAAGTCTGTCTGCTGCCAGTTACTGATGAGCTCCACGTGAAACAGCAAGTCTAAGAAGGGTATCTCTCTTATGGAAGGGTTTTGGGAACAGCTCATTAAATTTTGACCTTGGGACATGTGAAGGTCACTCCATCTAGTCCTAAATTGTTATTCTCTTAATATAAAAAATGAGTGAAGCTCAGTTTTAAGCTGTGCGAGTGTATCCTGATGTTTTCCTCCCGTTCCTCATCATTCAGTCATAGAGTAGAATCATAGAATTGTTTAGGTTGGGAAAGACCTTTAAGATCATCAAGTCCAACCATTAACCTAGCACTGCCAAGTCCATCACTAAACCATGTCCCTAAGCGCCATGTCTACACATCTTTTAAATACCTCCAGGGATGGGATAGTGACTCATCCACTTCCCTGGGCATCCTGTTCCAATGCTTGACAACCTTTTTGGTGAAGAAATTTTTCCTAATATCCAGTCTAAACCTCCCCTGGTGCAACTTGAGGCTGTCTCCTGTTGTCCTATTGCTTGTTCCTTGGGAGAAGAGACCAACGCCAGCCTCTCTACAACCTCCTTTCAGGTAGTTGTAGATCTAGGCTGGCAAGTGCTGCCTGTCAGCATCATCGGTTATACTTCATCTGCAATAAAGCAATTGTGGATTTGCATCTGTTCTATAAAACATCCCTTTCGTATTCCATTTATGTCATTAAACCCTGCTGTTCACACTCCTCACAACCTTTGAGGTGCCGGACACTGAAAGGAGAGCTAACCCCCAGCTGCTCGGAGGAGGCGATTCCTCAGGGAGATGGAAAATTCCCAATCAGGTGTGGATTCTCCAATTCTTCTTTGGCTATGCAAAATTCACCTGCAAAATGCAAAAAATCCTGTGGGTGGAAGGCTGCTCCCTTTTAAGAGTGGGAATCACGCTCAACGGTGAGGCAAGGGAGAAAACTGGTTATTTTTGCCTGAAAAAGATGTAGATTTCTGGCAGGAAAAGAGACTGAATGTTTCCGTTTGGAAATGCTGTGAGTCACAGGAATTACAGATTTCTTGGCTGGCAAACATCTCCCATGGTGTTTCCCATTCTCCTTTGTGCTGAGCCACTGCCACACATCCGGAGGGTTCCCGCTCCTCATGTACTAGGAGATGTAGTCCTGATTTTCAAGTTGTTTTATTCCAAAAGTTTTCAGGCTGGGGGCATTCTGTTTTTCTGTTTTTCATTTCCAGTTTTGATCAGACTCTCTATTTTCTTTGAACATGAGATACCTTTCAAGACCTTTTTGTAAAAAATAAAAAACCAGAAAATGAAATAAAAGAAATACAAACTTTTAAAGTTCAGTCAAAAAAATCCACTTTTACTTTTCTGCTAAAAAAATGCACAGTTTTGATGGGAATCACAGCAAGTAACAGAGTTCAGAGGGTACACTGTTTAATGTAACTAGTGAGAGGTTTTTTAAGTAGATGTAACATCTTTGTTCGTGAATATTGCTCAAAGGCGCAAAGATGAGGAACCTTACGTTTGCGAACAGCATCTTGAGCTCTCTAGTGACCCTGTTTGCTGACACCTTTGGATTTGCATCTTCCACCAGCAGCACAATGTTTCTTACTGCAACAGCATGGTTAGAGGTTGGTTCAATATTTATTCAGACGGAGGGAAGAATGCCAGGAGCTAAATTACCCACACCGCTTCCTGGAGCACTTTAGTTTTCCTTGGAGGTTTCCCATCCAAGCTCTGACCAGACCTGGCTGTTTTGCTTATAAAATCTGACAAGATCTCAGCTTGAGGTGGAAGGATTACTGGAAAATGCTTT